AAGGAAGGAAGGAAGGAAGGAAGGAAGGAAGGAAGGAAGGAAGGAAGACAATACTAGGAAGTATGGAGGTAGTTCAGTTGAGAAAGCGCTTGCAAGAACTCAAGTTTATCCCCAGAACCAACAGTTAAAAAAAAAAAAAAATGTTGGCGTGGTGGCAAATGCTTTTAGTCACAGCACTGGAGAGACAGAATCAAGCACAACCCAGAGGACTAGTCGGGCAGGACTAGCTGAACGAGCTGCAGAAAGTCTCAGTGAGGGAGGCTTTCTCAAAAAACAAGGTGATAGCTCCTGAGGAGTGGTATTTGAGGTTGTCCTGTAACACTGGCACATCTAAACACATCCTAGAGAGTAAGTCACAGGAGTAACCTGAGCAACACTGATGAAGGTTTGCGGAGGAGGGGGTCGCTGCCTGGGACACGCTGTGAGACAAGCAGCCTTGAACTGAATGTTGGTTGGAAGGCACAGCTGGAATCAGTCACCAAGTAATGCATAAGCTTTTTCCTACCAAGATTAATTACTCCAAGAGTGTTTGTCCGGGCCTCTGACATGGTGGGCCACAGCAAAGGCCCAGGGCAGAGTGGCCCGCTCTTTGTCACTCTGTCCTGTTTTGGAGTCAGCAGCAGGATGAAGCAAGGTTCGGGCAAACTCTGAGGCCTTGGCCCTTCCTTTTTTGACGTCTCAGAGAACTAATTGCAAGGTCACCCAGGAAGTCTTTGAAAAGACATGCCTGGCTCGGGCTGGCCCCTCTCTCCTCAGAGGATCTGATCTGCCTTTATGCTCCTCAGCTGGGGTGACGTGTCCGCCGCCCTCACTGATGTAGAGGTCAGGCTAGTGCAATATGCGTTTGCTTGACAGCTGGGAAACAAACAACCAGCACTTTGAGTTGAGCCCATTCTGCGCATTGTTCATCCTCAGGAGGGTTTGGCCGTAAGTCATCCTTGTCTTCTTTTTCCTTTTCCACAGCTGTGGGATATGACCCCGGTAGTGTCGTGATGGCTCTCGCAGGGCCGAGAAGATAGTTCCCGCTAAAGAGCCACTTGTCTGAGTCTGAGATCATTACAGGAGAAGTGAAGTAGACGAATAAGCAGGGAGAGAAACTGAAGCCTCAACGCGAATGCCCCCTCCCCCCACACTGCTGCAGTGAGCAAATGAAGGCGCCCCCAGGACTCTGCAGTTGTCCATACAGTATAAAAGAAAATATTTTTTTACCGAACGGTTTCTACAGCCTGGCCGTGCCGCATTGTTTTGAACATATTAGAAAATCTGTGTGGGATGTTTAGGCTTCTGTGTTTCAGCCATCCATTGTACTCATTGCTTTCTGTGTCAGAAAAAGGAAAAAAAAAAAAGAGAGAGAGAGAGAGAGACTGAGAGATCTATCTGTTGAAGGTACTGTGTCGTTAAAAAGCAGTCTCCTCGTTTTCCTCACCTCAACATGTACCAGGCAGTCTCTCCTCTTGAGTCTTCCTTTGCCTCTCTCCAGAGTGTGTGATTGCAGTTTGTTCCAGTGTTTCTGCTTTCGCGGCCTTAGCAGATAAGAGGTGAAAAGCCCTGTGTGTCTGACAGCTGGCCTCTCGAGTCACCTGCAGGGAGCAGTAGTGTTCTGGAGGTCCCTGTGGTTCCGCCTCAGCATCTTCCGCCGTCCACATTAGAAAATGCTGTAGAAGCTGCCGCCCACCGCCAGCCAGGACTCACGTGACTCACCCTGCAGTGCTTGCATCTCAGAATTCAGTGAAAGCCTCTTGAGCCTTTTGCGTTTTGGACTGTGGGATTTGTTGTTTTGTTTTGTTTTGGTTTGTTTTGTTTTGTTTGTAGCATTCCTTTATTCATAACATGAAAGGCAAACAGAAATGTCCATGCTCCAGAAGGAAGAGCCTTCACGGTGCGTCTTCCTACATGCCGCTGCCCCTGAGTGCGAACATGCATCACTTTCAAATTAGAATACTGCTCTCTTCACCAATCATAACTTAGTCTCCCTTTAAAAATCAGGTATTTAAGCATCTTTCTGTTACTGTGCGCTTTTCTGTGAAGCCTGCGTGTGACCTAAACCGAGGTACTAAAACGAACAGAACTCCTAAGGAAATCAGTCCAGCTTGATAAGGTACAGTAAGGACTCACTTCAGCGTATCAAGATAGGATTAAAAATAGTGGCAAGCCTGTGCCTCAAAACTGCTGTCCTGCCCCCCCCCCCCCGCCGCCCTCCCCCTAAGCCCTGCACACATCAGGAATGTCAGGGAGGGGAACAGATCAGTTTTGTTGGTTGCTCGCCCTGCCCTCTCTCTCCGTGTCACACCTCCATAATATCTTGCTCCCTTCTGATCTAACCGGTGTCTCCTAGCACAGAGGGCCCTGTGTTATTTTGTTGTGTTCTTAGAAAAGCAGTTTCCTCCATGTCGTCATCGCTTCTCTATCTGGAGGAAGGAATAGTACCCATTCTTGGATACCACCGTTAGCACCGATGACCCGGAGTGCTTCCCAGGACAAGGCGTCTGGAGCCACTTCTGCTCGCTGGCCCCCGGGAAGCAGGGCTAGGGTGCACCTCACACAGCCACACCCCTGGCGGCTCTTACGTGAGAGCAGACCTGTGGACACGCCCCAGGAAGTCAGACCACCACTGGTTCAACGGCCCATTCCGTGACATGCTGCCTAGGCTCCGAGGGGCCGCTGGAACTGCTTTTCCGCATGATCGCTCCATCGCAGAGCTTTGAAAAGGGAGTGAGAGCTAAAATGTTCAAATACTGACAGTATGGTTGATTGATAGGATCTACTCTGGTACAAGAGTGTACCAGAGCAACTGTACATGCGTGTAATGCTGTGAATGCTTGTATGTGCCTGCTGTCTCCTCTGTGTTCTTAACCCATAGAGAAGTGCATGCTGGCACTGATAGGCGTGTGAGCATTGGCCTCATGGGTCAGGCATGAGCCGCTTGGCTCGTTTCTCCTCTGGGTAAAAAACAAAAAGACAAATCAGTCATCTTGTCCAGTTTGCTCTTGTCCAGTTCTTGTTCTGCTGTGGAAACCGCAGCTCTGGGGCTGGTAATGGCCGCAGCCATGCTGGGAAGCAGGGAGGTTTCATGTACAGAGGTTCCTCCTAGTGGGTGGATGAGGTGCATCTTAAACTCTTAGTTTCTCCAAAGGAAAGGACTGAATGTCTCCACCTTAGCAAAAACGGTTTTAGAAACAAGTACTTGGAATTCTGTGCCATTTTATAAAAGGTCAGTCAACATAATATGCTTCTCTTTTAATCGTCTGAATAATTCATGAAATTACAAAAATTGCTAAATTGGGAGGAAATCTTGAGACCTCAGGTGTCCCAGATTAGTTATACCAGGCAGTTAGATAGAGATGAAGTGTAAACAAGAGAATCTCAAAGAACATTCAAGGAATAACCGCCTTTGCTACTACCCAAAGCAGTGTGACAGGCAGAAGGAGCGGCGCCTTGCTGCCTGCAAGAAGTCTCTGGGCTTGTTTGATACTATTTTAAGCAAATGTTGGCACCTGCCTGTGGTTATGAGTAGGAACGTGTTCTATCAGAAGGCGGTTGGTACTGTTGATCTGTATGTCAACACCCCCTTCCCACATTATTCCCCTCTGACCACCCCAGGGTCAAACTTGAATCACAGTCAGGGCCCTAGAGTACCGCTGTCCTGCTGGCTAACGGCTGCTCCACAGGGCCTGGGCCTACAGTGTCCGTTGTTGTGATGGAAACACCACCTTTTCACCATCTCAGAGTCATATTTTTAAAGCATACTATATTTTTGTTTAACATCAATCCTTAAAAAGCTTGAATTTGAGCTTTAAAGCAAAAGAGTAGCTCTGAACCATGGGCCCCACTTAGTACAGAGAAATATGCATTAATGAGGGGCCTTTGGTGTTGCTTTTTCATAGTATTTAAATATATATATATATATATTTATGTATGAGTGAGCTTGTACACTGAGATTTATATTTTAAAGCAAAAGAAAAGCATTTTTCCAAAAGTGTGCTTATTTTTCTTTCCTTTACAATACCATTGGGTCAGATTTTTGCTGGTGTAAACGTGGATATTTGGCACCCTGGTGAAATGACACTCAAGTCAGCAAATCTGCCACCTTTTCAGGCTGTCGGGTCCCGCCAGGAAAAGCCCGTGTGCTCCTGTGAACTGTAGTTCAGCCTGACAGCCGAGAACCACACGCCAACTCAGGGGTTTAGTCTGTGTTTTCACCTTTGCACGTTGCATTCCCACCAGAAGCCTCAAGGCTGACATGGGGAGCGTGCCTGTTGCCTGCGTGGAGCCTCCTCTGAACTCCCCATGCCACAGCCAGTTGTCAGGGGAAAAGGTGATCCAATCTCCGTGTGGGTTCTATCGCAGTGCTTAGGGTCCCTGTTAGACTGGGGCCTCTGATTCAGTGAATGGTGTTTGTCACAGGACTGACCCAAACTACCATCAGTCACAGAGCCAGCCTCACTCAGGCAGGTGAAAACACACGGCCGGATCACAAGTTCCTTTCCAGGCTTTTCCATAGGAAGCCTAGTGGGTGTGGTTTTAGAAAAAGACGGTGAAGTTGTTAGGAGTATCTCATTTAAAAGATAACTCAAAGTATTCACCTTTAGGGGCTAAGAATGTGTGACTGGGGAGGCATTGTTTAGGAAAGCTATATTGGTTCAAAAGGTAGATTTTTAAATCTGATTTAGATATTAATGTGTTTCCCCCTCTTAGTTCTTTGGGACGCATGAGAGGGTGAATTTCTTTCAAAAGGGAAAGCAGTTTGCCTTGTCTGTATATTTGCTTTGTTTCTGTATCCTTATCATTCAGGTGAATATGCAGCCTTTCGTTCATAGCCTGTGCCAGAGTGAAGCATGGAGCAAACCACTTCCATCACCCTTTCCACTGTCCTGTGTCTGTTTGTGTCCTAGGCCATTTGCTTTGCATTTTAAATGGCTCTTCCAAGGTGTTGTCATTTGTGGAGGAGAAAAGTCTTGAACAAGTATAAAAACTGTTACTAACTGGACAGCAGGAAGGTGTTAGGCCCGCATTGTGCCTACCCGTCAGTGTATCGTAACCAGGTACCTCCCTCTGCTCAGCTGTCATCTGGGCCACATCTGGATGTGGTTGCCATGGGCTTGTTACGTTATGGGTATCTTTTTCCAGAAAAAAATCAGGAGTTGGGGTGAGCCTGAAGCTAAAAGCTAGAATGGGTCTCTCCACAGCAGCTATAGCCAACCCCCTCTGGCAGCTGCTGGGCCCAGAGCCACTGGATCCCACCAGCCACTCGTGATGCTGTCCTCCGAAATGCGACGAGGTGGTACTGAGTGAGAATATTCTGTATCCCGAGAATGTCTCCGTGTCCTTGTTTTCCCGCCATCGTGCCCTCCAGCCTGTCATGTATGTGTAGCCATCTCCAATGGACGCCTCTCAGAGCGGCGGCTTCTGTGGCTTAGAATAAATGTCCGAATACCTGCCTGCCGTCTTGGTCGCATCATTGTCAAGCATGACTGTATAAACCTAGCAACTCTTACCGTTTCTACCCTTGTGACCCATCAAGGAGGGATGGGGAAGTTTCCCAATTATTCTACACCTGGCCATGTAGACCTCAAGAAGAGTTGGCACCTTAGGTAAGCCACTGTTGACCAGCCTGAGTGTACCACATGGGCCGCAGCCATGGGTTTGTCTTTAATGTAGGCTGCATTTTCCGTGCATGGTAGAGTTTCCAAGTGAAGACTGAGAACTTGAGGTAGATAGAATCAGGACCCTTGAGGTAGACAGAAACCTCATTGACCCTTGAGGTACACAGAGTCAGAAACCTCATTGCTTCTTGAGGTAGAGTCAGGAACCTCGTTGAGAACTCATGAGGTCCCCTTTATAGAGAAAAAAAATAGGTACAAAGAAATAAAAGACCCATGTGAGGAAGAGTTAGGGAGGGGTGTGGCTAGGCTGCCCTAGTGCTCCAAGGCCCCTGCTCCTGTCCAGCCTCATAGCACTACCCATGCGCAGCACAGCAGGAAGCCCACAGGAAGGAGACAGGGAAGTAGACAGATGGTTTTGGCCGTGCCCCAACCGTTCAGCTGACACACACCCGGCAAGCAGGTTCACCCAGAGAAGCCCCTTCCTTGCCTTTCCCTGGCATTCATCGGCATCTGAACGTCTCCAAGAGCAGGGAGGAACACAGCTGAGCGCCTCTCACTGTGGGGATGAGGCTCATTCAGTACTGTGGCCACCAAGAACTTGTACAAGCACATCTTAAATGCATTGGCTGGTTTTGTCCCAACCCTGAAGTTAACAAGAAAATCTGAAAAGTGGAGAGTTTTTTGGTTTTGTCCCTGTTTTTTTTAAGTGTCTCACCCAAAGCTTCTTGAAGCTTTACAGCTAGGCCTCATTTAATTACTACTGTCAGAGACATGAATGGCCTTCTACCAGAGCATAAAGGCAGCTGCCCAGTGGTCAGCCTGTGGACACAGGAGTTCCCTCAAACTGATAGATTCATTTAAAATATTGTAAAAAAAAAAAAAAAAGTCAAAGAAATGAGAGATTTAGACATGAGACACCCTGGTATATTAGTAGCAGGAAAAGGAGCCTGTTTTCAAACCTCTAGTCCATACCTCTGGCATTTTCCCATTGCTCTCGGCCCTGCACTGGGTGAGGCCTGGCCTATTTCAGACCTGTTTCTGGATTTCAGTGAACTCCGTTTCCACAGTCCAGAACAAGGTAGGTTTAAGGACCAGTAGGTAGCAGCTGGGACTGGATGGCAGGGGGACATTTGGAGCGACTCCCATTACCTAATACCCAGAGGTCACTCAAGTGAGCACATACGGCTGTCATCAGTAAAAGAAAGGGGACTGACTTGTCCACGAGGGCCATGTTCCCTTTGGATCCATCTCCAACCTCCACTTTAGGAATACAAAATCTGAACAGTGAACACTCCAAACAGGGGCAGGGGCAGTTACTGACCTTGAGTTGCTGCTTTGGCCAGTTCCTGCTCTGTATGTGGGTCAGCTTCCCAGACACCCACCACCAAGGTAGGAATCAGGGACAGTTCATGTGTTAGACCCGCCAAGTTCATCAAGGGATCAAAATTACGGCTCGACCATTTCCCAAAACTGAGCCAAAACAGTGGAAGGAAACACTTTACTCAGGATTCTAGGTACAGTCACACAGGATCCTAGGAGGCAGTCCCATCCCCAGGCGCCATGGGAAGGAGGGTACACCATTAAGGCCAAGTTGCCGCCCCAACTTTGCGTCACCTGCTTCGTTGCCAAGAAGGAAGGCGCAATGAGAACAGTGACTAGTATGCTGTGCTGTGGATGGAGGGCAATGTCTGTCCCCCAGTTTGGCAGGGAACCCTGGCCTCATCTGGGAGGAGGAGGCAAGCTGGAGAGTGTGTGTCTGCAAATGAAGGGATTTTATATGGTTTGACTTTTTGCTTTGGTTTGGTTTTTCTTAAAACCTAAAATATCAAAAAGTGAAGTGGGTCACAGAGCATTCTTATTTCAAAACAGCACTTACCTAACCTATTCAGAACTGATTCCAGAGAGCCTTTCTTCAAAGGCCCCGACTGTGGCTGGGTTGAAAATGGGAGTGTGTTGGGTCCCTGTGTCCCCTAGGTTTCTGGGCACCCACATCTGGATCAGCTAATAACTGAAAGGTCACCCCTCTTTCTGTAGCTCCTAATGACTTGCCCATGCTTCCCCAAGTAACTCCACTAAACTCATCAGCTTCGCAAGGCCCCTGTGTCGGCCATCTCTCTCAAATGACCGAACCTCTGTCAGATCCTAGCTGTGAACTTCAGGACTTGTTGGTATTTGCTTTTTAAGAAAGGATTCTTCTATTCCTTCTGTGTCTCTCCATACCTTGCCCATAGCTAGAAGCAGCAGCCACCTAGTGTCTGCCCTGCCTGTCCCTGTCCCACTGGTACCCAGAGCATAAGGTACCTGGTACCTGGATGTGTAAGGACTCGGCAGCACTCTGGCTACCAGCACTCTTTGTTCTCATCACACCCAAGAGCTGTGTGCCTAAATGGAATATGCTGGGGAACAAAACCTGTCCCTGGAGAAGCCAGGGGTGCCTGGGCTCCACAGAGGCCTCAGGATTTTAGAGAAAGTTCATCTAGTCCAAGGCCCTCATTTTCTAAGTTACAGATAAAAGTATTTGTTATGGAACTTGAGATACCCTGAGTTTTATGAAGAGAACTTTCTACAGGATTCCTCGGACCTCAGGTGGCCACCTACTGGGGTCTACTCAGCCCTCTAGGGCCTCTGGCCAGACAGGCCACTAGCATGGAGATGTTCTGCGTCTCCTCTCATAGGACCACACGTGGCCACAAGCACAGTAACTCAGACGTCAGATCCTATCAGTGGGCTTGGGAGATAGAGAATGTCAAAATGGCGTTTTCAGGACAGTGAACTTGCAGTTTAAGAAGGTGGGCGCCTGGACAGGTGGAACCAGGCATCTCCCATGAAGGAGGAAGAATGGAGAAACTTGGTCCCAGTCCCAACCCTACCTCCCGGCTTCAGTGTTGTGTGGCTTTTCCTAGAAAATCTATTTCTACCCAACCCAGACCTAGAGGATAACGGCGTACCTGAGACAGAAGCCCATCTAAGCCGAGTGACCCAGCCAGTGTGGTGGTATTACATACAGAAGCATGACAACTTCCTGACGGCTGAACCACAGAGGCACTCCTGCACCCCAGTAACTGTTAACTCATATATACTGGAGGCCGAGGGAACCTCAAAACCCCTTCCTCCCATGAGGGGATGTTAATGCAGCCAATCTTGTGAGGGTCTCACATGAGGCGATCACACCTGCTCTGATTTGAAGGTGGCAGCTGCCAGTTCATGCCCAGAGGACAGTTCTCCCCACCCCGTCTCCCTGATGGCCAAGAATATCCTTCTTGTGCGCATGACAGGAAGCTATCGATATCCTGGTCTGACACGCCCCTAAGCTAGTGTTGTGAGTCCATTTTCTCCCAGTTCACACCCTTCCTGGAGAGAGGAGAAAGTCATGCAAGTTCCCAGGCAAGGAGACTCCACATTACTAGATTCGCAAGACCTGGCCCCAAGATTATAAAGGCAGCAACCATTACTGGTGAAGGGAGAGTCCCAGCAGCCAAGCTGCCTACATACAAGAAATACAGAGAACTCTAGAGACGTTTCTGTGTCTTCACCCAGGCGGGGTGGGCTCTTTGATGTGGTTGGGTTTGAGTCACCCATGCTCGCATGAATAACTCCTGTGGACTCACTGCTTCACTAAGCTGGGCGTGGGTTAGATAATATTGGGAGGCTGCTGTTGGTGCCCCACCTGAGGGGAACAGATGTCCCTCTCCAGGAAAAGTCACAACACCAGCTCTCTGGGATGTAGCCAGCACCAACGTATACTTTTTCCTAAAGGAATGTGGTTAGGCCAGAAAGGAGATCCTGGAGCCTGTGTGTACTGTTCAGAACCTGCCTGTCTTGAAAACCAAATCTGGCAGCTCTCACTACAGTCTCAGCACTCAGAGAAGTCTGCAGCAGAAGGCTCATAGGGCTGGGGCCAGCCTGGCACACAGGGAATTCCAGACCAGCCTGAGTTATCTGCTGACCCCATTTCAAAAACTAAAATGGCCCCGATGTCCTCATCGGATGGCACAGTGCAGGCGGTTACGTTTTGCTGTGTGCATTTATCAGCAGAAGGAAAGTCGGGGCAAATGGATTTCTTCTGTGCTCCAGCCCCATGACGAATAATCCTATTTCACTCACCAGTGCTATGATGTACGGCTTTATTTTCCATATCTTCATCTCTCGGGATGAGCCCTAGAGGAACTGTACAGGCATCAAATCTGCTAACACATTGGCTGTCAACACTGACACCTGCAGTGTATGTGAGAGCCTGTGTCCCCAAAGCTTCGGCAGTAGCGTCTGGGAGGGCAGGATTTCCTGTGCTGCAGTTCTCTCATTTGCCAACACTGTGATGACAAAGAGTGTATGGGATACTCGTGTGCTTGCTGATGGTTTGCATCCTTGTTTGTGGAGGTTTAGAGAGCTTCAGAGGGCCCCCACGAGCCCTGTGAGGTCACCCTTATATGAGGTCGTAGCTGGGAGCAGATCCAGAAGAGCAGAATGCTGCCCTTCACGTCTGCTTCAGCAGCCTAACAGCCTGCTTCCAGATAATTGCAGCTGTCTCTTCTCCTCTGTGTCCCCATACTTTCCAGAATCCTGGGTGGTGCTGAGGTGATCCAGATGGCTTAGGCCATGTACAGTCCTTCTGCCTTAAAAACTCTGCTTACCAGGACAGACCCCTACTCCATGGGAAGCCAAGCAGCTCATCAGCCCTTGTTATGATGCTTTTAGGTCATTCCAGAGAGGTTCAGGCCTGTGGCTGCGCAGATATTTTTAGATGAAACGTAAGTGGCTCAGCCAAGAAAGGTTACAACATACACAAAGTGTCTCCTAGCCAGAAGGTACTGAGAGGAGGAGCTAGCCAGGTTCAC